ACAGAGACACAAAACATAAACCAGGAAAAATCTAAGAAACCCAACATAAGAAATTGCAGAAGTCAATGGGTAGGCTAAAACACACAGGACAAGAAACAAAGGAAACATAGGAAAACCGGAAAATGAGCAACAGAATGACAGCATTAAGCCCTCCGGCATCACTACTCACCCTCAATGTAACCGGATTGAACTCTCCCTCAAAGAGACACAGAGTGACAAAATGGATTAAAGAACAAGATCCAACAATTTTTTGCCTCCACGAAACACACCTGAGTTCCAAGCACAAACATAGGACCAGAGTGAAGGGGCGGAAGACAACACTCCAAGCTAACAGCAAATAAAAGAAAACAGGTGTCGCACTACTTAGACAAAACAGACTTCAAGATAAGGCAGGTAAAGAGAGACATAGAGGGCCAATATATAATGATCAGAGGGACACTTCATCAAGAAGAAATAACACTTATAAATATCTATGCACCCAACACAGGACCACCAAAGTTCATAAAGCAACTATTAACAAACCTAAAAGAAGATATCAAAAATAACACAATAATAGTAGGGGACCTCAACACCCCACTCACATCAATGGACAGATCATCCAGACAGAAAATCAACAAAGAAACAGTGGAGCTAAACGAAAAGCTAAAACAGGTGGATTTAACAGACATATATAGAACACTCCATCCAAAAACAGCAGAATACACATTCTTCTCAAGCACACATGGAACATTCTCAAGGAGAGACCATACGTTGGGAAACAAGGCAAGCCTCTATAAATTTTAAAAAGTTGAAATAATAACAAGCATCTTCTCTGATCATAATGCTGTAATGCTAGAAATTAATTACAAGAAAAAAGCTGAGAAAGGCACAAGGATGTGGAGGCTAAATAATATGCTATTGAACAAGCAATGGATCATTGAAGAAATTAAAGAAGAAATAAAAAAATGCCTGGAGACAAATGAAAATGATAACATGCCATAGCAACTCCTATGGGATACAGCAAAAGCTGTATTAAGAGGAAAATTCATCGCAATACAGACACATCTTAACAAACAAGAAAAATCCCAAATAAGCAATCTTAACCTACACCTAACTGAATTAGAGAAAGAAGAACAAACAAAGCCCAAAGTCAGCAGAAGGAGAGAAATAATAAAAATCAGAGCAGAAATAAATGCTATTGAAACAAAAAAGGCAGTAGAAAGGATCAATGAAACAAAGAGCTGGTTCTTTGAGAAGATAAATAAAACTGACAAACCCCTAGCCAGACTTACAAAGAAAAAAAGAGAGAAAGCTCAAATAAACAAAATCAGAAATGAAAGAGGAGAAATAACAACAGACTCCGCAGAAATACAACGGATTATAAGAGAATACTACAAAAAAACGACATGCCAAAAAAACAGATAACCTAGAGGAAATGGATAAATTCTTGGACTCCTACAATCTCCCAAAGCTCACTCGAGAAGAAGCAGACAATTTGAACAGACCAATCACAAGGAAAGAGATCGAAAGAGCAATCAAAAGCATCCCAAAGAATAAAACCCCAGGACGAGATGGCTTTCCTGGGGAATTCTACCAAACTTTCAGAGAGGATTTAATACCTATCCTTTGCAAGCTATTCCAAAATTAGGGAGGATGGAACACTTCCTAACACATTCTACGAGGCCAACATCACGCTGATACCAAAGCCTGACAAGGACAGCATGAAAAAGGAGAAATACAGGCCAATATCGCTGATGAACACAGATGCAAAAATTCTCAACAAAATTTTGGCCACCAGAATTCAGCAATTCATCAAAAGGATCATACATCATGATCAAGTGGGATTCATACCAGGGACACAGGGATGGTTCAACATCTGCAAATCAATCAACGTGATACACCACGTCAACAAACTGAGGAATAAAAACCACATGATCATCTAAATAGATGCAGAGAAAGCATTTGACAAGATCCAACAGCCATTTATGATAAAAACTCTGAACAAAATGAGCATAGAAGGAAACTACCTCAAAATAATAAAGGCCACATATGACAAACCCACAGCCAACATCATACTCAATGGGCAAAAACTGAGCATCATCGCCCTGAAAAGAGGAAGGAGACCAGGATGCCTTCTATCACCACTCTTATTTAACATAGTACTGGAGGTTTTGGCCAGAGCAATTAGGCAAGAGAAAGGAATAAAAGGAATCCAACTGGGAGGGAAGAAGTGAAATTCTCACTGTTTGCAGATGACATGATCTTATATACAGAAAACCCCAAAGAATCCATTGGAAAACTTTTAGAAGTAATCAACAACTACAGCAAATTTGCAGGGTATAAAATCAATTTACATAAATCACTAGCATTTCTATACTCTAATAACAAACTAACAGAAAATGAACTCAAGAACACAATACCATTCACAATTGCAACAAAAAGAAAATACCTCAGGTGAATTTAACTAAGGAAGTGGAAGACCTATACAACGAAAATTACAAGGCTTTTCTGAAAGAAATGGATGAAGACATAAAGAGATGGAAAGACATTCCATGTACATGCATTGGAAGAATAAACATAGTTAAAATGTCCATTCTACTTAAAGCAATCTATAGATTCAACGCTATCCCAATCAGAATCCCAATGACATTCTTTACAGAAATAGAATAAAGAATCCTAAAATTCATATGGGGCAACAAAAGACCCCGAATTGCTAAAGCAATCCTGAGAAAAAAGAACACAGCTGGAGGCATCACAATCCCTGACTTCAAAACATACTACAAAGCTACAGTAATCAAAACAGCATGGTACTGGTACAAAAACAGGTGCACAGATCAATGGAACAGAATTGAAAGCCCAGAAATAAAACCACACATCTGTGGACAGCTAATCTTCGACAAAGAAGCTGAGGGCATACAATGGAGAAAAGAAAATCTTTTCAATAAATGGTGCTGGGAAAACTGGAAAGCCACAATGTAAAAGAATGAAAATTGACCATTCTTTTTCACCATTCACCAAAATAAACTCAAAATGTATCAGAGACCTAAAGCTGAGACCTGAAACCATAAGGTTTCTAGAAGAAAATGTAGGCAGTACACTCTTTGACATTAGTATTAAAAGGATCTTTTTGGACGCCATGTCTTCTCAGACAAGGGAAACAATAGAAAGAATAAACAAATGGGACTTCATCAGACTAAAGAGCTTCTTCAAGGCAAAGGAAAACAGGATTGAAACAAAAAAACAACACACTAACTGGGAAAAAATATTTGCAAGTCATACATTCGACAAAGGCTTAATCTCCATAATGTATAGAGAACTCACACAACTCAACAACAAAAAAATCAAACAACCCGATCAAAAAATAGGCAGGAGACACGAACAGACATTTCTCCAAAGAAGATATACAGATGGCCAATAGGCACATGGAAAGATGTTCACCATTGCTGTGCATCAGGGAAATGCAAATCAAAACTACACTAAGATATCACCTTACACCCATCAGAATGACAAAAATAACTAAAACAAATAGTAACAAATGTTGGAGAGGTTGTGGAGAAAAAGGAACCCTCATACACTGCTGGTGGGAATGCAAACTGGTGCAGCCACTATGGAAAACAGTATGGAGATTCCTCAAAAAATTAAAAATAGAACTACCATACGACCCAGCTATCCCACTACTGGGTATCTTGAAGCTAGCAATTCCAAAAGTCCTATGCACCCCAATGTTCATTGCAGCATTATTTACAATAGCCAAGACGTGGAAGCAATCTAAGTGCCCATCAACAGATGATTGGATAAAGACGATATGGTATATATATAGACAATGGAATACTACTCAGCCATAAAAAAGAACAAAATCGTCCCATTTGCAACAACATGGATGGACCTTGAGGGAATTATGTTAAGTGAAATAAGCCAGATAGAGAAGGATAATCTCTGTATGACTCCACTCATATGAGGAATTTAAACATGTGGACAAAGAGAACAGATTAGTGGCTACCAGGGGAAAGGTGGGGTGGGGGGTGCTCACAAAGGGTGAAGGGGTGCACCTACAATACGACTGACAGGCAATAATGTACAACTAAAATTTCACAAGGTTATAATCTATCATTAACGCAATAAAAAATTTTAAAAAAAGGCTTATTGATATAATACATGAGGATTAAATTTAAAAATCTCAGCCTAATGACCAGGAGCTTGAGTTTAAATCACTTTGAGAAAAGCAAACAAATCACATTCTATGACCAAAAATCAGTGAGTTGATAATCCAGATCCCATAACCCTAACTAGCCTAAGACAGTAATGTTTCATGTTGTGGTCTGATGAAATTACTACAAGCCCAAAAAGTCATCAAAAGTAAGAATTACTACAACTCTTAGAAGGCATCAAATAAATAAAACTACAGTCTTAGGAAAAAGTATAGGAATAATTAAAAAATGAATTATAACTATCATATTTTATAATAGATTTAAGAGTAAGCATAGGTTTTGAACTAATCCTATTTTAGTACTACTTAAAGAGTTTGAGGTGTTCAAAAGAATTAGCCATTTTAACTAATATACTAATTACCCATTTTAAGCTAATTAACAGCAGTTTAATTTCTGTAAAAAGATTAAGTTGCAATTAATATTTCATGTTTAAGAAAAATCACTTTTTCAAAATTTTTTTTTAAAAATTTGTAAAGCCTGTTCTTAGACCCCTAAATTTCTTTATACCAGTTTATCTACACATTATTCCAAGAGGGAAGTGCCTGCATTTATAGATAGATACAGATCTATATATATATATAGATCTGAATAACAAATATATCCCTAAACCCTAGGAATGTCTTGATTTTGAACAAAAAAGTTATATAACAGAATTCTAATATGCATAAAGACTATGGTTAATCTTAGAGAATTTGCTGTGCTTTATTAAATACCAATAAGCAGGAAGAAGTATTTTAATCCCTTAGTATAACTGGGTAGAACATAATACGTGCACATTAGGATACATAAATACTTACATATTAGAATACTTACATAGGAGAATGTCTTTCTTGAGACAGTGTTGCCTCATGTGAAGCTGAAACAGCAGAAGGGGATCTAGGATACAGTCCGTAACCTTCACTTGGAGTGATTATCTGCCTACCCAGAATCCTTCAAAATGAAGACCATAAAGAGACAATTAAGTACCTTCACCTGGCATACATACAAAATGTAGGCATTTCTGAAACAAATCTGATGGCTCTACATAGAGGTCCAGTACACAGTTAGTCTGTTACTGATTAAGAATGATTCTTGAGAAAAAAAGTGAATCCATAGCCTTGTTACAGGTATATCTCTTTTTCATAGAATGGAGATGGAAAAGATAAAGCTATAGCCCCCCAGCCCCACCCACCTGAAAAAACTGAGCAAATGTTTGCAATTTGCCCTTCACCCTCTATAATAATCTTCATTAAATCTGCCAAAATGGGTGAAAGCCAGCTAAATCAGTGAAGACTATGAATTATATTCTTAAGAACAAGAAGCTTTATAAATTTTAAGTATGTAAGGTACACTAATGTGGTTTCTAAGGGAAGCTTCCTAACAGCCTACGTTTGCTTTCAAATATACATAAGAATTTTTTGCAGACAACAGTGTAAATAAATACATTTTCTGAACTTCTTCAAAAGAAAGTCTTCTTGGACAGCTGCAATACACAGATCTTAGCTACTAGTATAGAAATGTTTTACTCGGTTAGGATGACATATTGGTAGTTACAAACACTCTGAGAAACCTCCATCAACTTGAATTTTCTCTCAACTGAGGGTTTATGGCACATGGCCTTATTTACATTCATCAAAATCATGCCCATAACGATTTCAGAACACAAGTTTTTTTGAAATCTACTTTTTAAGTTTTAGTATTAGCTATGAATACAAGTTAACTCTAGGGCTTCAATACCTGAGATGAGGAAAACTACATGTCCACTGTTGGCACTCTTCTTGTAGACTCTTAGTATGTACACTCAACTTCTGCTCATACAAGAGCTCGTCAATGGCTGTGAACATTGCCTGGACTTTTTCAGTGGCATTTTGATCAAGTTCCTAGAAGAAAATATCACCCCAAAATATTTAGGTGAGGTTTAATCTCTGTTAAAAATGGTAAAGCTTGAAAGCAATCAGATTTTGTCTTGTTTTCAATATTTAGTACATTTGAAATACTGCTGAATTTCTGTGAAAGAAAAGTTAAGTTACTGAGTTTTCAGATCTTAGAATATTCAGCTGTCCTCCCTATTCCTATTTAAAGAAAATTTATAGAAATATCTACTTTTAAAAGTAATATTTTCTTCATCATAAAAATACTGTGTTTATTGTAATCATTTTGAAAAATCTGGAATAGTATAAAGGAAAAATAAAAATTACCAATAAATCTACCACTCAATGATTGCTAATTTTAGTATAGTTGCTGGGTTCCAGCATATATTTAGAGCTTATGGTAGATAGTCAATCTTACTTTGTAGTCTGCATTTTTCACTTAACAATTTAGGTTATGTCCTTGCCCTCTGTAATTCTATTCTTTTTTTTAAAGATTGGCACCTGTGCTAACATCTGTTGCCAATTTTCTTTTTCTTCTCCTCAAAGCAGCCCCCCCACCCCAGTACATAGTTGTATATTCTAGTGTGAGTGCCTCTGGTTGTGCTATATGGGACACCGCCTCAACATGGCCTGATGAGCGGTGCCATGTCTGTGCCCAGGATCAGAACAGGCGAGACCCTGGGTCACCGAAGCAGAGCATGCGAACTTAACCGCTCAGCCACGGGGCCGGTCCCTGTAATTTTCTCCTTCAGCAGCAGCCAAAGGGATGGCTATAAAATCTGAATATGATCACATTATCATGTTATCTGATTCTTTGCTTACTCTCTACTTCATCTGAATTTATGCCCCCTTTTACATTCCAGTGGAAGAAAAGTTATACCTTCTTTTAAAAGCATAAGATGAGAAATACGTATTTTTCACTCTAAGAATGAAAGTCAGCCTCTACCCAATAAAAAAAAGGGCTTCCTAGGTAGATATGAAGGTTAACTTTAAAGACTCAATGCAAATATATTTTAAACATTTATTACTGTTTTCAAGCTCCTGGGGGGTGAGATGGGACTTTCCTAGTCTCAGTGAAATTTGTTATTCTTTTCTATTAAATATTTATCTACTTAAATTCTTTCTCAGCCTTCTTTTGTTGGTATTTGCCTGTTATAACTTTTCCCATCCTTTTGTTTTCAACATTTGGGGGTGATTCCATTTTTGACATGGTGGTTGTTGTTGTTGTTGTTGTTGCTGTTGTTTCTGGTGAGGAAGATTAGCCCTGAGCTAACATATGTGCCAATCTTTCTCCACTTTATATGTGGGTTGCTGCCACAGCATGGCTGACAAGTTGTGCAGCCACCAAAGCAAAGCGTGCTGAACTTAACCACTACACCATGGGGCCCCTTGACATGTTTCTTTAAATAGCATGTAGCTGGATTTTTAAAATCCAATTTCAGAGTCTCTTTTATAGGTAAATTTTATACTCTTATAATTCTTGTAATGTGCAATATTTGGACTTATTTCTACCATTTATTTTATGTTTTCTATTTAAACTTTTTCTTGTGTTTTTTATTCTCGCTTCTTCTGTTACAGTGAGTTTTCCTTATTCCCCCTATCAATTTGGAAGTTATTCATTATGTTTATATTCTATTAGTAGTTATACGTAAAATTTTGGCATCCATACTCTGTTTTTGTAATGAAGTCTACAGTTTTTCAGGATTTCTGTCCTCCACTAAAAGAAAGCAAGAACTTTGACCATTTCACAATATATATATACATATATATATTAAATCATTACATTGTACACCTAAAACTAATACAATGCTATGTGTCAATTATATCTCAATTTAAAAAAAGAAAAAAGAAAAGGAGAACAGATATAAGACACAATGGAAGGATAGAATTCACAGAACTTGATGACTGATTTGATAAGAGAGATAGTTATGAAGATGGTGAATCTGAGCCTTCTAGTCTGGGTGACAGAAAGGATGATGCTAGTAATAAAAGTGAACATTCATCAAACAAAATATTCTTAGCTGAGAAGATCTCAAAGATCTTTATACTAAGTAACCAATCTCTATCATATCTTTTTTTGTTTAACTTTCTATTTTCACCTAGTTTTAGACTTAGTATCATATATTTTTAAAGCAGTAAACACTTAGGACTTCTCAGGAAACTCTCTTACCAGTGTTTTTCAAGCTTTAGGATAGTGTGGGTCATGAAATGAATTTAAATTGTTATTAGAAAATACCAAAAAGCAGAACAGAACGTAAAATATCATAGTGATCACTCAAATAAAGACTATTACTTTGTGGAACTTTGTCTTCTGTTTTATGTAAACATACTCGGTCACAATGTCAACATGTCAGTTTGAGTTGTAGTTTAAAAAGTTGGAAAGTCAGTGATCTAGACAGTGCCCAACAAGTCATCTTTCTAGTCTAAACCCTCCCTCCTCCAGTTTACAGGATTAGAGTAACGACATGAACAAAAAGGGATGGAGGGGCTTGAGGCATCTTTTATCAAGTTGACAATGAACAACAATTATGTAAAACAAAATTCTTAAAAAAGGACTTTAGGGGCCAGCCCCATGGCCGAGTGGTTAAGTTCGCGCGCTCCGCTTCAGTGGCCCAGGGTTTCACTGGTTGGGATCCTGGGTGCGGACATGGCACCACTCATCAGGCCACGCTGAGGCGGCATCCTACATGCTGCAACTACTAGGACCCACAGTTGAAATATACAGCTATGTACTGGGGGGATTTGGGGAGAAAAAGCAGAAAAAAAAAAAAAGATTGGCAACAGTTGTTAGCTCAGGTGCCAATCTTTAAAAACAAAACAAGACTTTAATATGCTTTAATTTTCCTCTAAGCATCTTCCATATTATTTTGAATTTTATTATGTGTTGTTTTTAACACAAAATGTTATTATTTGTTTTAGTTATTACTTAGATTTACCCATATGCTTTGTCAATGACCTTGCTCTCTGTTGCTTCTTGTATCCCATCCTCTCTTCTGGCTTTATTTTTCTTCTTGCTGTAGTCTGTCCTTTAATAGTTCTTTCAGTGAGTATATATGGATGGGAAACTATTGTTCTATAGATGTTCAAAATGTCTTTATTTTGCCTCACTATTAAATGATAGTATATCTTGTATATATCATTTATCATATGTATCACATATATTATAATATATAATGTATCTCATTTTTTCCTTAGTAGTTGGAAGATATAATATCATTATCATCTGGTATTTATTGTTAATTGTTAGCAATCTGTTATAAGTCTGATTTTTACTCCATTATACATAGTCTGTCTTTTTGAATAGCTTTAATATTTTTTTTTTTTTGATTTTCAGCAGTTTCAGTTTCTCTGGAATATTTCTGGGAGGTTTTTTTGTTGTTGTTGTTGTTTTGCAGGGAAAGATTTGCCCTGAGCTAATATTTGTTGCCAATCTTCATCTTTTTTTCTTTCCTCCCCAAAGCCCCAGTGCATGATTGTGAATCCTTCTAGTTCTTCCATGGGAGCTACCACCACAGCATGGCAACTGACAGATGGGTGGTGTGGTTCCATGACCAGGAAATGAACCCAGGCCACTGAAGTGGTGAGACCAATGAACATTAACCACTAGGCAATCAGGGCTGGCTGTGGATTTTTTCGTTTTTTTAAAATTTTGTCCCTCACTTGATATATTTTTTTCAACATAAAGACTGTTGTCTTTCTTCAATCCTTAAAACAAAAAATCAGTGATTATTTAAATATTGCCTCTTTTCCATTCTTTCTTTCAAAAACTTCTGTTAGATATATATTGCAGCATCTTAATCCATCTTCTATGTCTCCTAACTACTCTTCAAATTCTCAATGTCTTTAGCTCTCTAGTTCTAGGTGATTTTCTTAGTTCTATCATTCAATTCACTACTATTCTGTTTCACTGGGTCCAGTTTACCGTATCTATTGAGATATTTCAAATGCTATTATTCATTTCCAAGATTAAAAAATTTTTTTTGATTCTTCTCCCCAAAGCCCCCCAGTACATAGTTGTATATTCTAGTTGTAGGTCCTCTTGGTTGTGGCATGTGGGATGCCACCTCAGCATGGCTTGATGAGCAGCACCATGTCTGTGCCCAGGATCCAAACCAGCGAAACCCTGGGCCACCAAAGCGGAGCACGCGAACCCAACCACTCAGCCACAGGGCCAGCCCCTTTTTCCAAGATTTTAAACCAGCTCTTCATATCTATCTGTTTTTAAATTAAATTCTCTGCGCGCTTTGTTTTAAAACCTCCAATAATTTTAATGGATGCTATCTTGTCCCTTAACTCTTGGAGTATTTAAAAAGTTTAATAAGCCTTATCAAGGAATAATTTACGTATAATGACATTTTAACTATATACAGTACAATGAGATTTGACAAACATATTCACCCAAGTAACCACCATTCATTTCCAAATATAGAAAATTTCTATCACCCCAGAATGTTCCCTCATACCCCTTTGCAATTGAAGTCTCCCATTCCCCATGCCAGGAAACCAGTGACCTGATTTCTATCACTATAAATTAGTTTTGTCTGCTCTAAAACTTCAAATAAATAGGATCATGCAGGATGTACTTTTTTGTGTCTAGCTTTCTTCACTCAGCAGAATGTATCTAAGGCTCACCCATGCTATTGCATTTGCAGTATTCATTACATTCTATTGCTGAAAAGTATTTCAAGAATATGCCACAATTTTTTTTATCTATTCTCCTGTTAAGGGACATTTGCATTCTTTAAAATTTTGTTATCATGAATAAATCTAATATGAACATTCATGTATGAGTCTTTTTCTGGACATATATTTTTATTTCTCTCGGATAAATACCTAGCAGTAGCATTGCTGGATCTTATAATGAGTGTATGTTTAATGTTAAAAAAATTTACTAAACTATCTTGCAGAGTAGATATACAATCTAGCACTCCCAACAGAAATGTGTGAGCATTAAATTTGCTCCACCTCCTGGGCGATACTAGGTATTGTCAGTCTTTTTAGTTTTAGCA